CAAACATTCGTAAATGACGTTGTAGATAGGCTAACAAAAACATAACTTCTTCAACTTCAATGCTTGCACTCCGAAAACACTTCGAACACTGTGTGTTCGAAACGTCTGCAGGATTCCAGTCGGATACAGGATTTGCAGGATTCCAGTCGGAGTTCAACGAGCCAACGAATGATATCCCGGAATATAGTGTCATCACATTCTTCCATCCGTGAATCAATACGTGAATATATATATATATATATATATATATATATATATATATATATATATATATATATATATATATATATATATATATATATATATATATATATATATATATATATATATATATAGTAGCAGGTAGTTTGTAAACAATTGTCGTGTGAATATATGTAATTTCGGATTTCGTCGGTCATGTTGCTCTCTGGTCTTTGGTAATTGGTGATCCAATTATATTTTCTTGTACGCCATGATCTGCGTTTCGCTCATCTTCAAATAGCTCTTCAATATACTTTTAAGTTTTTCCTATGCTTGTTGTTATTGTAGTCAATTACAGGATTGCTTTAACTTTCTTATGTAGGCTAAAGTCATCATGTCTTCTTTCATACTGTTCAATCTTTGCACATTCGTTGGAGAAGTACACCGTTTTCACATATCTAATTTTGGTTCTTATTTCTGAATTACGTTTTTTGAGGCCATCCTCAGTTTCTTGGACTTTTTGTTGCCTTCTCTCTTCCATTAGATTCAGAATTTTTTCTGTAATCCATATTTTTTCTTGGATTTCTTATCTGATTTCAATTTACTGTCCATTGTATCTTTTATAGTTTTTTTTTTACGAACACAGTCCAAGTAGTGTTCATTGTATCTTTTATAGTTTTTTTTTACGAACACAGTATGGCGATAGATGGAATTTTAATAGAGTGATTTTGGCAGTTCCACACCAAACAGTGGCCCATACTCACATTCAAAACATTACTGACCACAAATTCATAGGAATTATGCTAAAACCAGATTTACCATTTGTCCCAAAATCTCTCAACTTCTTCGCTTAGTCAAAGACAATTTCCGTTTGAGACAGTATGCGTTTGCAACATTCCATGCATATGCGGCAAAGAATACATTACAGAGACCGGACGAAAAATATCAACTGGGTTCAAATAACACGAATGAACCTTACGACTAAGACAAACAAACTCATCAGCTCTTGCCGAACACAATCACGAAACCGGACATACAATTTTATTCGATAAAACTAAAATTCTTGCATGCAAGCTATGCTTCCACCAAATAAAAATCCAAGAATCTATATTTATATCTATTAGCAATCAAACAATCCGCGGCTTTTATCTTGATGATTGAAGAAGTGCTTTGAATATATAGTTTAACCTGATGGATCAAAAATGGACTTCACTACCATTGTTCGAAGGGCAGTTATGTTAAATCGAATAGTTGTTTGAATAACCGGGTTGAAAAATATATACCAGCTGCGGTTCGTCTCTTTTGTGTTATTATTTCCTGTCCCTATTATGCCTACTTTGCAAAAAAAAACGTATTTGGTATTTTTTAATAAAAACTTTATTTTAGAACTTAGAATTCTCAGAAAGCTCAATATACTATATTTTGTACAATCGAAAATATTATTTTAATGAATATACCAAATTAAAATTTGAAGCGAATTTTTCAATAAGAAAGTGCCCAATATGATAAACAATTTTAAGTGACATTTTCGAATCATATTGTGCGATGGAAATGCTAATACAAAAATGAATTACGGCATACACGCAGGTTATTTTCAGTATTACAATCCAGAGGAAAATTTCAGACGATACCCCATTAAGGGTTGCCCAAGTAGCAAAAACTCGCGGAAAATTGTCATATACCTTTAATATAACTCTTTTATTCTAAAAACAACTGGCAACCTTTAATATGGCGCAAATTTATAAAACAATTGTATCCCATAGATGGTATAGGATGATATGAAGTTCACAGGCTTTCGCTTAAATTGGATAGGTATACGAGGTCTATTCAAAAAGTAAGGTGACTTTTAAGTTTTATCAAAAAGTATAATAAGTATAATAAGTTTTTCTAATGCTCGAAGCACTTCTTATGTAAAAATTAAATTTATTGGAAGCCATGGAGGTTAACAAAATGAGACATTCAAATGTATTGCTTAACGATTAATTAGATTTAAATACCTCTCCTTTATTGAACTTAAACTCTAACAACATTAATTAAGGTTTTATGGTCATTTTTCGGTATATATAGTAGCAGGTAGTTTGTAAATATTTACATTTGATAAAGACACGGTGTTGTCGAAACAATTGTCATGTAAAAATATATAATTTCGTGAAAATCTGAACTTTTAGTTCTTATTTATTTTGAATTGCATTATTAGTTGCTTAATTGAATATACGATAAAGCAGATAGACCATCTGACTGGTTGAAGTCGACGTTTATCCAGATTCCTAAATCAGCAAAGGCTAAAAATTGAAATGAACAGCGAACCATAAGCCTGATGGGTCATGCCTTAAAAAACCATCAAAAAATTTACCCCAGACTTGAGGAACACATTCAAAATACTCCATTCAAGTTCTAACTAAAAGAAGTGGAGGTATGAACTGCGATGTATTTATGAGCTTTAGTGACTTCGAGAAAGCGTTTGACAGAGTGCAACATGAAAAAATGAGTGGAATACTAAAAACAACAAGAATTGATGACAAGGACATGGTCAACCTCTTCTGGCATCAAAAAGCAAATGTGAAAATAGGAAATAATATGACTGAAAGCATCTCAATTAAAACAAGGGTAATACAGTATTGTATTCTGCCACCATTGCTTTTCATACTCGGAGACAAAATTCCAAGACGCTTTAGAAAATATCGAAGAAGAATAAAAATTAATGGGGTGAGAGATGCAGATAATTCCGTTCTACAGGATAATAAAGATAATATTAAAGGACTCCAAAAGCTCATAGACCAAATAGTAGTTTCATCCAACCGTTACGGTCTTAAATTTAACATCAAAAATACCAAATTTATACCAAACTAAAGAACCCAATATACATGCAGAACGGTGGATCGGCCAAAGTAAACTTGAAAGGGTCAAGAGCATTAAATACCTAGGACAATTGTTAAGCGAGGATTGGGACAATTCACTGAGAATCAAATCCAGAGGCAAGAGGAAGGTTCATATGTATGAGGACAGTAGTGTGTAGACATGAACTTAAAATTGAGCTCCGAATGAGAATGCTCCAATGTTACGTCACAGAGACTACTTTAAAGAAGCTTTTGAAATGTGGGTGTACAGAAGCGCATTGAGGATAAGTGGATAGATCGGGTCACTAACATAAAGGTCATGAACAGAATGAAGAAAAATAAAGAAATCATTGCAAACATCAAGATTAAGAAACTCTCATACTTCGGCTATGTTATGAGACACAATGAAACATGCAACATACAACATTTGATGATTCAGGGCAAGATTGAGGGAAGACGAGGCTCAGGAAGAAGAAGAACATTTTGGCTGAAAAACCTACGACAGTGGTTCGCTGTTTAGGACAGCGGTAAACAAAGTATTGGTAGCCAAACATCAATAGGAAGAAGTGAGCGTAAACGTGTGTGTGAATTGAGCTTTAGCAACAACCAAACGTTTAGTTTATTATTCTCATTTGAGCGATCGAGATATTTTCTCTTCGTCAAAAATATCGCAAAATTGATTTTTCGGGACGATTGAGAAGGGTCTACACCCTTCTTCGCGGAAATTTCGTGTTTACGTCTAGAGACTTTTCGATTAAGCAATACCATTAATAATAACAAACAAAGTATTCATCTTTTAGGCTTTCTTGATTGAACTTATCATCATTAACTTCTTATTTGACGTTTTTCAGGATAACAGCAAATACTTAATGATGAAAAAATACAAAACATTTTAAAACAGTGAAATGTAATTGATTATTCCACATAACTTACGGTAAATATGAAAGGGGTGCTTTTTATAACAAAAATGGTGAACCGGCCATATGAACATATGTCCCCTGTAGGCCAACTAAAATTGTAGGGGGGAAATGTTATAGTTTATTGGCACTTTTTTATTTACTCCTTTATCAGTTTTTGTATCTACGAGTATTGCTGTAATACATTTACATTTTGCAATATAGGTACATTATTGTGGGTAAAACCTTAAAATAGTTCCCACCTCCAAATTTAAAAAAAATATTGCTGGACCACATTTTTGGCAACCTAGGTCAACTGATTTAAATCCAATAGATTTCTTTCTCTGGGGAAACTTAGAAACATTAGTGTACACAACACCAGTCCAAAGTGAGGAAGATCTAATAAATCGGATAGAAGACTCTTGTACAGTTATTAGGAACACCCCTGGTATTTTAGAAAGGGTTCTCCAGTCCCTACTAAGGTATACAAACGCGTGTATCGAAGTCGGGCGAGGTCATTTCCGACAGTCGCTCTAATTTTTTTTTCTTTTTCTTACTGTTTACAATAAACTTCTTCCTGTTAGTAGTTTATTTTATGTATTTATTTATTTTTTTAAGCGACAACGGTGCATCGAACGAAAGCAAGTTCATGCACCAAATTTGCTCCAAATTGAATGGGGATTTTAAAAATAATTTTTGTTTTCAGAAAAAGCAGTGAAGTGCTATTTCTTCTTTAAAAATATTCAGTTCCAACCCCGTACGGACACCACTGGTAAAAATAAAAATAAAGCTTTTGTATGAAAAACCGCCTCTCAATAATTAAAAGATGTTTACCAAATTTGATAAAATATATCGTTATAAATAAATATCGTTATAAAAAAAAATAAACGTTATAAAAAGAAAAACAACCCTTATCTTGAAAGCTATGCATTTTTGGACGAATGTTTATATGAATTTTTCGTCTTAAAATCACGCAAGGGATAGTTTCTTAAAGTTTGGCAGCGCACTTTTTTAGCACCCTGTATATACTAATAGTTGAAAATGCACAAAAACTACAATCGTATCCATAGTAACAATATGCTGCCACTCTCAAATTGACACATACTCCAATTAAAAAATCACCCTTTATGTTTGGATTCCTGAAGATCATGGACTTACTTAAGGTTGGTTTAGAAGCATTCAATTCGATAATATTATCCAAAGCATATTGCAGATATTCCGGATGCAGGAGCCCGTGTCCAAAGAGCTTCTCTCCAGGAACAACGACTTGGCAATTTGCAAGGAAACTATCCGAGAGAAAGACGAACTGTCGAAGGAAAGAGAAACGAGGATAAAAGAGCTGCAGGATCGGGTGTGCGAGCTTGAAAAGCAAAATGGAGAGCTCGAGATTAAACTAAAAAACGATAACGCGGAATACCAAAAAATTATGCAGGAATACGATGGATTTATTAGCAAAATTACTGAGGACAGCAATGAAATAGTAAAAGAAAATGAGACATTTCGACGAAAATTACGGGAACTCGAAGATCTGCTACAGAACCACGAGAGCACTAAAGAAGACATGAGAAGCCGGTTGCAAAAATGTGAAACAGTTATTAATTCTATAACCCATAAATATAACACATTAAAGGCACATTCTCAAACTAAACTGACCGAAGCTAACTCAGAAGTCGGTAAGTCTGCAAAAGAGATCGAACACTACAAATACCTGATTGAAAAGAAACAAGGGCAAATCAATGAGTTGGAGAAACGTTTGGGGTTGGAAAAGAAAAGACCTGATCTCAGATCGGAACCCCCAAAAAGCTTAAAATTATCTAAGTCGATGTTAGAACCGCTAAAATCCCTGTAATGTTGAAATTGGAAACATGTAATGCCCCAACTGAATATTAACTGCCTTTCAGCATTTATATTATAGGTACCTAAAACGTGTCAGACCAGTAATATCTGTGCCTCATTACTGAGGTAATGATACGAGGTTTCTTAGGTTTTTTTATGCTAATTATTTGTTTTCACTCAATCTCCGCCCATAAAATTTTCACTAGTAATACCACTAGATGTCGTAATATTATCAATGAAAAAATATTCATGAGCAAAAATTTCCGGATTGAATGTGACCTCGTGTGGTATTCGGTGAGATAATTTCAAACCAGTAGTTTTTAACCGGTCAAAATTGATTTTGTTGAGAGATTTCCATAGCAAGCATATAATTTTTTGTTAATATAATTCGCTGTTGGGTGTACCCACAAAGAAGAAATTAATACTAAAATTAGTCCATTGCTATGGTGATGCTTCAACACACATATTATTAATAACTTACGGATTTTCAACAATAAATATAATTTTTTGGAGAAATGACATTTTGGCACGAGTTTTTTGGGGCACGAGTGAAACGCAAAGTAGAGAATGTTTAATAAACGAGTGGAAGAATATAATATTTAATAGATGTACTTTTCCAAACCAGTATAGCTTGCGGCTCTTTTTTTGTGAACTGGTATTTGTATTGCATTAGAAGCATTTTTATATTGAATTAATATTTTAAATGATTTTTTCTACTCCCGTCTGTAAAATGCCTAATAGCCCACCGATATAGCGTGAGGGAAGCGTCACTTTAGCACGTCAGTTTCCTTTCCCACGAATCCGAGCCACTTCGTAAATTTCCGGGATTTTACCGCACGGATTTGGTAGCAATCGAATGTTTTCGGAAATATTTCCCACGCTTTGAATTTTGACGTTTGTCAATTCTGACGGTCACGTCAGTGAATGTATTCGTGTTGTTTTACGAAAACGTACCCAAAAACTAACGGTCATAGAAAAAGTATAGTATGCAACAAGTTAAGGTTTTCAAACGAAGGATCTCGTTTTTAAAAAACACTTTTTTATTTTGCAAACAGAACTACGAGGTTTTATTTAACCCGCTACAAGGAGAACTGGACGCAAAGCACAGAGTTGTTATATATATAAAGTTTTTATGCAAGCGTCGCGTCGCAGATACCGGATATACTGAAGCTAGCATTTCATCAGCATTTTCTATCACATAATTCCTCCCTCCGAAGTGGAAAACAACAGGGACGAAGGGTTGTTTTCGGAAGACTGGTCGTTCTTAGTTTTCTTGGAATCTTGCAGCAAATGGCTCTTGTAGATTTTCCATGCTATAACTATTAACAAGATTAAAATAAACATCATTCCTGTTGAAGTGGCGAGACTCCAAGTGACTGGATGAATTTCATAACCAATGTCGGGGATCGATGATTTCGCAGCTTCTCGTAGTTTTTTGATCGTATTGAGATCAATCGATTGTAGTTGGAGTGGCTGGTACTTCACATCGTGATGTTCCATATTTTCAATTTTAATGGGTGGCAGTGAGAATGGGTTTGCTTTAAAAATTTCTTCTTTATTCCAAAGCTCGGTATTTTGGGTACTTATACCACAATTATATGGAACATTGATTAGGCAGGCTTCTTCAATAAAAGCTATTTCTTTGTTTTGACAATTCATTTGTAATTTAAGTTTCTGTTCCGATGGTATTATCAAAACAAATCTACTAGTGATTGGTCGTATTATATGCGTTGAAACATTTACATTGACTACGTGGCAATTTTTGTTTTCGGCATATTTAATGAGGGTTGTCACACAATCACCGATGGGCTGGGTAAGTTGATTTTCGCAAACGTAGGTGTCTTCAATGATTGGGCAGATTGATTCTTGATATTGTTGCATGTCAGTGCCCAATATTAGGTAGGGTGAATTAGGTATAATTAAGGAGTGATTCACAGGTACTGGGAACAGGTGGAATATTTCAAAAATATCTTTAAGAAAAATCGGAATATGGACGGCAAAAATTATTTTATCTTTTGTAAATTTAACTTGTAAGTTTGCTAACTGATAATAATTATTTTGATTTTCAAAAATTAGAATTTGATTATCACCATAGAGAACAGTCAATTTAAAAATTATTTGTTCTAATTCGGCCGCCGATATTACTACAGGATGTAATGTATTTAATTTCGCAAATGTAATGGCATTTTCTAAATTATCCAAAAAAGTTATAAAACTTTGGCAATTTAGAATTATTTGCATTAGTGTATTTTGAGCTTTAATGAAAGTAGTTATGTCAGTAATAGTTTTATTTGAATTATATTCAAAAATGTCTATATGTTTTTTAATAGCTTCTTGATTTTTCTGTAGAAGTGTTATAGTATCATTATAGTTGTCAATCAGCTGTTGAATCAACGAGGTTTGCTTTTTTAGTTGGATGTCAGATGAATGTTTACTACGCACAAGTTCTGTGATAATTTTATCGTATTTTTGTCCATCCTCTGAATCGAGAGTGCCAAAAAGCCATTTCGATAATTTACCTACAACATTTATTAAACCTCTTTTTGTACGGTTATTAGGTTTTATGTTACCAAGTTTAAATTTTACTTGAGTAATTAAATATCGAACATTATTAAGTAAATTATTTCCATTAATATAGTGTACATTCTGATAATTATGTTTATTTGTATAGTTTAATGATTTTGAGATTACAGCGTAAGCGTATTCTAAATTACGTAATTGATTAAAAAGTTGAGATGTTTCTACAAAATGCAAAAATGTATGTTGATGTTGAATTATTCGAGCATTTCCTAAGCGGAAGGGGAGAAGTGGTGTTTTAATTGGGATAACTTCAATATCATTATTCGCTATCACTAATAACAGCGTAGCTGCAAGAAGGAACAGCGTTGTCCGGTTCATTAACCTGCGAAGAAGAAAAAGCTTTAGGTTTTTGGATCTGAGATTTATGAATTATTTTTTTATTTTTTGTAATAATTTTATTCCCAATATCTTGATCTATAATAACAGGTTTTCTTCGGGGTTTGTCCTTACTACGTTTTGCTGTTTTGTCAGTAACGTAAACCTTTGTATTTTGTTTCATTTCAGGTGGATTTTCTCGTTTTTCGTTTTGTTTTTCATTTAAACGTATTTTTGTTTCTAACGATGTTTCGTAAATTTGTTGATAGATAGTTTTTAGTCTTTCACGTCTATCTGTGATATAATTATTTACAATGATTTCATCCGTTAAATCAAAGGGATCTAAACCGTTTACTTTTCCATTAATAACGTCAAAAGGTTTTTGTTTTGTTACGCTATGCATTGATGAATTATAACCTATAATGGCGTATTTTATTAAATTTTTAGGGGCTTCTTTAGGTTCTTTTAATTTTAGTACCCTATATAATTCAACAAGAGTAGAGTGAAATCTCTCTATTGGACTATTACTATTAGAATTGCCGGGAGTTGTAAAATGAATTGCAATTTTATGCAATTTACAGAAATCTAAAAGCAAAGACGTTTTAAATTCCGTACCATTATCACACGTTATTTGTTGAGGTAGGCCGTGATGACTTATAAAGGTCGCTAAACCGTCTAAGATAGCAATTGCTGTGCAAGCGGGTTCTAACGGATAAGCTTGGGCGTACCGTGAAAATACGTCTATAATTGTAAGAAATTTTACGTTACATATTTGAAAAGTATCCATATGGATGGATTCTAATGGTTCAGAAGGGGTCGGTGTCAACATAAACTTTAATTTTGGTGGATGTCGATCATATTTTGTTTGTTGGCACGTGTCACAATTATTAATATATTCAGTTAAATCAGTTTTCATATTTGGCCAATAATAGAGCCTTTTTAATGCTATTAGGCTTTCATTAATTCCTCGATGACAGGTTTTTTCATGATGATATGCAATTAGGTCTTTTTGTTTTGTCCTGTCAGTGACGTCAGTTAAAAGAGTTTTCGATATTACCAATTTGTAAGCACGGTTTTTAAATGTATTTGGTAACAAAACAGATAGTTCTCGATTTAAATCTATTTCGGTGTTTTGTACATAAAGGCAGTACATTTTTGTTGGATCCAAATAATCTAAAAAGAATTTAATTATTTCATTTTGATAGTTTTGACTTAAATAAACAGAAAATCTAGATTTATTTTGGAATGGGTAACTCCTAATCACGTGATAACGACCGTTTGTTTTTTGGTTAAATATTATTTGATTAGAGTAAGTATTTAAAATATTTTCGGTAATTGGTATATTTAATATTGGATCTTCAGCTGCTGAGTGTACTGTCTTACCAGTATTAGGAATATTTGGCGGTTTAATTTGAATGTCCGAGATGATATTAATTTTTGGAGTGTTTACATTTTCTAGAGGGTTAAACACGTCTTCAATTTGTTCCAATTGTTCAAGGCTTATATTTTGATCTTCTTCATGTATGTATTTATCGATATCTTCATTAATATCTCCAGGATTTCCGAAAAGTGACTCTTTATCTATCATATTTAGTTCAAAATTTTCTTTATGAAAGTCCGGAAAAGATAAAACATTTAGAGGTTGTGGGAAATTTAACGTTATATTTTTCTCAGTGTAATTAAAAACTTCTGTTTGCGCAAAACCGTTTTTTGCAGTAGTAAGTGTTTCTGGAAAATAGAGACCTTCAATGACTTGCTCGGGAATAATAACATCATTGTTTTGTGTTACTGGAATTCTTACGTTAACAATTTCGTGTGCATTCACAGTAATACAATATACTTCGTTTTGTGGTTGTCTAAATAAAATTGGTATATTAGTTGTATTATTCCTTAATTGTTTATTAACAAGATCGATAGAAAAATTAAAACGTTTTAGGTCGTTTAATCCTATTATACCGTCAAAGAATTTATGAAAGTCAAAAAGGATAAAAGATAGGTTGGTATTAGCCTTTAATTCTGGGAAAGCCGTAATATCTGCTTTAAATAGAGTTTCCTTTTCACCAGTTCCTGTTTTAATAATAGTTGGGGAATGATATATTTTTTCATAATAAAATTTTTCTGCAATGGAAGGTCGAAGAATCGAGTGAAAACAAC